GTTATGGACTTGCATAGTTAGAAGCTAAGGTAGAGCGAGTTAACAGGGGTGTTAGTGGAAATGATTTTAAACAACTTACTGTGATATACACTTTCCTGTAGTCTGTTTTACGCTATTCCTTTTATTTCAAATCCATAGCCATTCTGGTCCTTTTGTTACTAACCGTTCAATAGTATCTTGACAGCAGAACTACATCTTCGTTCTCATTTAATAACTATTTATCATTCTGTATCTGCCCATTTTCAAGAAGGAATAAAGTTAAGTGTTCCAGAAATTGGAAAAAATTGAAACTTGACCTTTATTAAGTGGGTTAATTGTCACAATCTCAGCATGTATGAAATTAATGACCAAAAAGTGGAACTTCAGAGTTTCAGAAGACTAGGTTAATGTCCAAAAAAGTCTAAACTCTGACCTTCTTGACATATGCCAAAAGAAACAGCCACCCTAATAAATTACTACCTGTGTGCAATTATAATAAACCATTCCTAGCATCCAATCACTTGAATTAATTGCTGCAAAGCAGTGGGGCTTTCTTACAGATATTCAAGTTAATCTAAAAATTCCTTTGCAGTTCATAGGAGGCTGTTTGTGCAGGCCTGTTTCAGTATGGAGATTCAGATTTAATATTTCATACCTTTGCACCACAAATCTGTGTACAACCCCGCTAATAAGCACTGAAATTAGGAGCCGTGGCTGAGTTGCTAACAGCACAGAAAGTGGTGAACCAGCACGGAATAAAGCAAAGGGAAATTAATTTGCCTCAACCCATACCAGAAAGTAATTGCTGGATGCGCAACACCTGTGTAGTTCCCAAATTTCAGCCTTCCAGAGGAGAAATGGACAACTTTTGCCAATATGACAACAAACTGCAGAGTATTTAAATCAAACAGCACTGACAAAAAGCAAGTTGTTTTTTTTTTTAAAAAAAAAGAATACTGCATTTGCATGGAACCAAGTCAGCAGAACAACATGAAGCCCACTGACTTCCACATCGCCACATCAAATGTGGATGCGGCCAGGAGGACAGCCAGTATTTCTCCCATGGTGTATTGGGTTTCCGTGGCAAGGTCTTGCTAGTGGCAGGGCTACAGGGGTGGCTTCTGTGAGAAGCTGCTAGAAGTTTTCCCTGTGTCCGCTGCTGGCCAAGGCCAAGCCAATCAGCAA